TGCAGGCTGAAATTGAGGAGCTACGGGCAGCTCTAGAACAAACAGAAAGGTGTAGAAAGGTGGCTGAACAAGAACTTCTGGATGCAAGTGAGCGTCTGCAGCTCCTCCATACCCAGGTGAGGTCACTTTGTGAGAAATGGTACTTTTGGTAAGTAGGAAAACACTTGTACACTATATTCTAGTCAGCACTAGAGGGTCGACTTCTAAGACGAGAAGTAATCATCATGATACTAAAAGAGATCTTCTGAAAAAGTGTGTACACTAGCTGTGTTCCCAGGCTGCATTTGATGAAATCCATGCTTCTGCCTTCTTTGCTTCCCAACATAATCTACAGAGTAAAGAAACTTAGTAACAGGGACCAGGTTTTTTAGTCACACATGCCAAATGGTCTGCAATCTGAACAGTCAGGGACTGAAACTCTGAGACAACAGCAATGTTCATTCCTTGCTCAGTTGAAATGTAGCACTAAGGAATCCTCATATTCCTTCAAAAATGTCCTTGTCCACTCTAGCAAGAAAGTGGGGATGAACTCCTGGCTCTGATGTAGCCCGTGTCAAGAAACTTTGACATAAGTTATATGTCACAGCAGTCATCCAGTAGTCAAGTGCTGAAATCTATGGAAAGTGTCTGGTTTCAAATGCTGAAAAGATTTTTGAAGGAATCCATCCTATCAACATCACAAATTTTTCTCTTCTCATTTGATGATAGTGCATTACTCTTCCCTAATTATGTTGAAAAGAAGGCATTTCTCTGACTTCCCTCACTATTTGTATTACATTTCTGTGCCAGCTTTGGTGAATGAGATGTGGCACAGATTATATTTTTAAGTACTCTTTTTCAACTTAAATAAAATTAATTGTTGGGAAAAAACCCAAAACATTGTTCGCCAATGATAAGAAATTTTACAGAAAAATCTGTAGTATTGATTTTTCACATAATTATGTCTGAAATAATTCTAAATCCTGTATGTTCTGTATTTGAAATAATGAGCTAACAAAAAAAAACCTCTAATGTTGCTCAACAGAACACCAGCTTGATCAACACCAAGAAGAAGCTGGAAACAGACATTGCCCAAATTCAGAGTGAAATGGAAGAAACAGTCCAGGAAGCCCGCAATGCTGAAGAGAAGGCCAAGAAGGCCATCACTGATGTGAGTCGGGGCCTGCTTTCAGTGCTGATGGTGGATGTATTCTCCCCCAAACTGTCTCCAGCCCCAAAATCGCTTTGATCCTTTTCTCTCATCAGGCGGCTATGATGGCAGAAGAGCTGAAGAAGGAGCAGGACACCAGCGCCCACCTGGAGAGGATGAAGAAGAACCTGGACCAGACGGTGAAGGACCTGCAGCACCGTCTGGATGAGGCTGAGCAGCTGGCACTGAAAGGAGGCAAGAAGCAAATCCAGAAACTGGAGGCCAGAGTGCGTAGGGCTTTTATTTGTGCACGAGTGAGCACGTCCCTTGGAGAGATCCCAGGGAAGCTCCAAAGATGGTCTTCTCATTGCAGGTGCGGGAGCTGGAAGGGGAGGGGGATGCTGAGCAGAAGCGCAGCGCTGAAGCCGGGAAGGGTGTGCGCAAGTACGAGAGGAAGGTGAAGGAGCTGACCTACCAGGTAAGGCAGTAGCCGTCCTTGGGCTCACACACCCTTCTTGCAGGAAGCCAGTTGTAATCCTTAGGGATTTCTTTCTGTCCTGAGTCACATAGTTAAAAAGGAGAAGACTGAGAACATCAGAAGAAATCTTCTTTCTGGTCATATTAGGAAGATCTAGCTTATCACCTCTGTCTTACTGGACAGCAATGGTCTATAAGGAATGATACTCTCTGTTTCATATAGAGGGCATTTAAAGAGGAGAGGCAAAGAGGTGCTGGTCTTTCTTGTCCTTCTCTGTAGTCTGAGGAAGACAGGAAGAATGTTCTCAGGCTCCAGGATCTGGTGGACAAGCTTCAAATGAAAGTGAAATCCTACAAGAGACAAGCTGAGGAGGCTGTAAGTATTGCTGTGTGCAGAGTCAGTTCCATCCATGTGGAGGTGGAATTCTGTATTGGTGTTTCCCCCTGTGTAACTCTGTTCAAACGCTTAACTTTTTTTGTCTTGCTGGGCACTCAAGAATGAACAGCTTAACAGCTGTTCTGCCTGAACAGCTCAGGGGTCTAGAGGGTGTGGAATACATTTTCTATGAGCATTACTGCATCACTGGGAAAAGCAGCAAAGGCCCAGGTCAACATTGTCAGAGTAGGTCTGTGCTTCTTTTCACTTTATTTCATATTTCTGCCAAGCAGAAAAAAAAATCACCTTCAAAATTTTTAATACATAATTTTATAGCAGTAAATAAATGGAAAACGATGTAATGGAAATAACTGTAATTATATGTAATTATTCAAAAATTCTAAAGTGCATTAGCACTTCATATCCAGAGGGGGATTCCTGGTATATCTTATTAAGCATCTAAACATTTAGCATATAAGCTATTTCTCTGGATTCCTCCTAGAAGTATTAGAGAGCATTACATACTAACTCACAGTCTTTTTTTTTATTATTATTATGTAAAGGCAAAATACTACAGCATGTCCAGAGCAGTGCTACAGTAGGAACATTATTAAACATTTTAAAACCTATTTTATGTCTCTTCCTATCCCCAGGAGGAGCTGTCCAATGTCAATCTCACAAAGTTCCGCAAGATCCAGCATGAACTGGAGGAAGCTGAGGAGCGGGCTGACATTGCAGAGTCACAGATCAACAAGCTCCGAGCAAAGAGCCGTGAAATTGGCAAGAAGTCAGAAAGTGAGGAGTAAATGCCTCCAGTGGTGCAAGGTGAAACAGAATTGCACAAAATGTGAAATTCTATCACTTTGATTTTGTAATCACTGCTTACTCCTTCATCAACCTCTAGATAATTAATGCCTAGATAATAAAAATTGTAGAGATTTTCCCATGGAAATAATGAGAAGTTTACTGTTGTATTTTAATCATTATCCTGAATCCTTATAAGGTTTACTTTTTTCCTTACTTATTTAAATTCATTCAATTAACAATCTTGCTTCAGGTATTTTCAGTGTTTCAGCCACTGTTAAAGTGGTGCAATTAGACATCTTGCTTCATTCTCACCGTGGAATTTCATCTAAGACTTCCTTAAGTTAGGAAACCATTATTTCTTTGCAACAGAATGTAATAATCCCTTATAACTTCTGCTTTAGGAATACAATAGATTTTAACTTGAAAGTTCTGTCAGAAGAATAAGAATTTATTGCAACTTCTGGTAATCCAGTCTAATCATTGATTATTCTAGTAAATCATGTGTCTTATTTGCAAGAAGATCTTTTTTCAGGTTAAACCTCTTCAGTCCTTCAAGCCACTTTGAAACATGGTTTGGAGAACATTTAAACCTAAAATGAGATCTACTTTTAACTTCCGTTCCTGAAAGTGATGGGCAAACCAACATTACAAGGGCAGCACAACCACCTACATTGTATAGTTATTCATTGTCTATATTCTGTTCCCAAAAGTCCCCTGAAACTTCTAAGCTAGTCAGGCCGCCATGTAGCTCCTATGAAGTCTCCAGGGTAATCCAGATAACTTTGCCTAGGTTGGCCTCACTCAAAATATGGGTTTTCATTCTTTGTAGATATCAGCATACATTAGAGAATCCATGGTCACCTCTTTGAAAACAAGGAGAAATAGGTGTCACTTTCTCTGTCATAATCTACTACTTAGAGCACTTGTCCTTCCAAGTCTGAAAGGATTTGAACCACTGAGACCTTCTCACGATTGTGTCATATTGCACCTGGAAATAATTGGAGAAGCCAAATCAACCATTCCTGTTGAAGATGAACCGCTATGCCTTCAGGAATCAAAAAGAATTATCTACAATGAAAAATGTCAAAACAGTCTCTGTAGGATAACAGAGAAAATACACATCTGGGAAAAGGATGACTGCATTTGATAGACCCATCAGCACTACTGAACGGCTGGCAGTTCACTAGTGTTACATGGGTCTGTCTAACTCCTTTTTTGAATAGTATGATGAATGTGATGACTTGTCAGAGTTCCCAAGCACCAAGGAAATTCAATTATTTTTATTTTGAGTTGGGCCATACCCTAAAACTTTCTTCCTTATCTCTTCCATCTTCTCAGGTCTCATATAATTTTCTTCCTTTCATACCCCAATGTTCACTGGACAATGAGGCTGTGGTGCTATGTGCCATGTTTTGAAGAAGTCCAGAGCAGAAGGCTATAATGAACAACATGATGTAGTCACTTTCCTCACAGTAGACTTCTGTTTATAGTTTCTTCATTTGGGTACTCTGAGAGGAGTGATCTAGCCCACAACACATCTGCCATTTGGCATTGAGAAACCACTGTCTCAGACCAATCTTACAGCCATTGTACTTCTCGGTGAACACAGCACAGACGAAACAATATTGCAGGTCTCAGAAGTGATCATCATTCTAAATGGTTTGCCAGTCATTCACAACTCTCCCATTCCCTCTTAAAATAAAATAATTAAGCTTCTACCCATGGAGTGGTTAGGAGAAGACAGAATTATAACTGGTGTTCAGTCTACCACAGCCACTTCTATTTATGTATTAGGCTATATAAACTTTAATTGTTTTCCACAGGTCTGATTTTTAATTTAAGACACATGAAATAGAGCACTCAGTGACTGAGAGCTATTCATTAATTTCCCCCCTTTGTTCTCCATTTAATAAGTATTATTCAAACCAAGCTTGAAGATGTAAATACTAAATTCCTCATGGCCTTTCCAAGGTTATAAGATAAGTGTGCAATATATATATACATATGCATACAGATATATATGTGTGTGTATATATATATACACACACATACACACACATATATGTATACAAAGTTTCCAAAGTATTTTTTCAGCAGCAATCCAGTAATATGAAGATGTATGCTACTGTTTCATCACTGATATGCAATCAAGGTCAAAAGTAGTCACTATTTTTATCATTCAATTTCAAGCCTTTGATAAGCATTTTACAGCTTTACATGACAGGTTCCCCTGACTGCAGTCCTACTTGAGTGTCACTGTATCACCAAGCCCATTCCCAGAGTCACACATCAGACACCTGAGAATCACAGAATCACAGAATGGTAGGGTTTGGAAGGGATCTCTGGAGATCATCTATTCCAACCCTCCTGCTAAAGCAGGATCACCCAGAGCAGGCTGCACAGCATTACATCCAGGCAGGTTTTGAATTTCTCCAGAGAAGGAGACTCCACAGCCTCTCTGGGCAGCCTGTCCCGGTGCTCGGTCACCCTCAATGCAAAGAAGTTTTTCCTCATTTGAGATGGAACTTCCTGTGTTCCAGTTTGTGCCTGTTGCCCCTTGTCCTGTCACTGGGCATCATAGAGAAGAGTCTGGCCCCTTCCTCGACACGCCCCCTTTAGATAAGTATTAAGGAGATCCCCTCTCATTCTCCTCTTCTCCAGACTAAACAGACCCAGGCTTCTCAGCTTTTCCTCATACCAGAGATGCTCCAGTCCCCTCATCATCCTCACAGCCCTCTGCTGGACTCTCCCCAGTAGTTCCCTGTCTGTCTTGAACTGGGGATCCCAGAACTGGACACAGAACTCCAGGTGTGGCCTCACCAGGGCAGAGCAGAGGGGGAGGAGAACCTCCCTTGACCTGCTGGCCACACTCTTCTTAATGCACCCCAGGACACCACTGGCGTTCTTGGCCATGAGGGCACACTGGTGGTCATGGAGAGCTTGCTGTCCACCAGGACTCCCAGGTCCTACTCCACAGCGCTGCTTGCCAGCAGGTCAACCCCTAACCTGTACTGGTTTTGGGGTTATTCCTCCCTGGGTGCAGGACCCTACACTTGCCCTTATTGAACTTCATTTGTTTCTTCTCTGCCCAACTTTCCAGCCTGTCCAGGTCTCACTAAATGGCAGCACAGCCTCCTGGTGTGTCGGCCGCTCCTCCCAGTTTTGTATCATCAGCAAATTTGCCGAGGGTATACTCTGTCCCCTTGTCCAGGTCATTGATGAATATGTTAAGACCAGACAAAGTACTGACCCTTGGGGCACATCACTAGCTACAGGCCTCCAACCAGACTCTGCGCCACTTATCACAATCCTCTGGGCTCTGCCATACGTCCTCGGGTCTCGGCATTTCAGCCTCTTCTCTCCCCACCTCACTGTCCACTCATCCAACCCACACTTCCTAAGCTTGCTTACAAAGATGTTACAAGAGATGGAGTCTGCTCCCTCCCCAGGGCCTGTGTCAAGGATATTGCTAGGAAACTCCCCGGCCTGGTACAGCCCTCTATTACCCACAGCTGCTCCTCCATGTGGGT